CATGGGGTGGCCAGGTGACCTGGGGAAGGGCCAGCTAAGTGAGGTGGTGGGAAGAGAAGTCACATAGGGTCTAGTCCTTGGGGTTGTCTGTCTTAGTAGCTTTCCTGGATTGAGTTGTTCAAAGCATTCAACCTGGCTCTGGTTTTTCTTTCTGAAAATTCACTGGTTTTTGTGAGATCTTTTAATATATGTGATCTCAGCAAATTAAGTAGTTATGCAACAACTGCTTACATATCCCAAGAACTGCCCACTTAACAAAAAAATTCCAGTATTCTCTGAAGAAGCAGGTAGAAGAGCTCATTCAATCTGGGAGGTTCTGGGGTCTCAGACTCATGTCTTGTGTGAATCAGACCCTAGGAGGAGTTTGCAGAGCTTGTGGGTGGAGAGAAGCCAAATGCCCTGAGATAGTGACCTCTGTGAGTGGGAAAGCTGGGTGTCCTGGGGGCCTGCGGTCAGGCTGAAACATGTTCTTGTGATAGGCAGGAAATAATGAATTTATTGCTTAGAGGAACACATGGACCTTTCAGTGGGTTCCCCTGGGTTCCCTTTTTCTCATGTGATTTTAGCAGGGGATCCATGTGTTTCTATAAATGGCATTTGTGGTATATATACTGGTGCCTGTGTGTGCAGCATGTGCACCACGCCCTACCTACCTGAGTTCAGACTGTGCCCTTGCTTGCAGTTGAGCCATGGCAGTGCTGCTTTTGTGAGATTACCTCATTGGCCTAAATTGGGGATTAGGAAGGTAACCTCAGGTCCTTCTCTGGCCATCGACTTCTCTGCCCCCAGACAGGAGGAAGCTATCCTAGGCCCCATCTGGTCCAAGGTGGAGCTTCTCCAACCCTCGCAATCCTCTGTACCCAGGCAGTGTACACCCCCAGATGCCGCCCCTGCATTGTGCACCCATCAGCTCATGTGGGCTGGGCCATCACAGCAGGCTCAGGTGTCAAGGGCAGGCAAAGCCTATTTCTTCCTGCACAGCCAAAGCCCAGAGCCGGTGGGTGGGGCTTGCTTCCCTGCAAGGGGATTTATTGCTCAGAAGGGCAGCCAGCAAGCCCTGCAGGGATTAGGGACTCAGCATCCCCAATCCTCAGTCCACCAGTCCAGACGTGCCTGGGTTAGTCACAGGTAGGCTATGTCCTTGCTGGAGAGGATCCCCCCTAGGGGAAGAGGGCCTGCTCAGAGGCCGGGCTTCAGGGAGGTAACACAGGGCTGGGGTGAGGTAGTTAGTGGGGGGCACAGGTGTTTGGGGCAGGCAGGTTCACACTGGGATTCCTGTAGGAAGCAGTGTTCTCTGGGAGGCTCTGGCAGAGCCTGGGGAAGGAACTCGGGTCTTGGATGTGCCCATCTCCCAGCGTCCCCTGCCCCTCACTGGCCTCTCAGCTCTTTCACCTGCTGTGTGGGCCTGGTTGCAGCTTCATCTTCCCTGTGGGGTTGGGAAGGTGGCCCTTAACTTCAATGGCAGCACAAGTGTCACAGAGTGGACCCAAGTCTGATGGGGGAGTTCCCAGAATGGGCTTATATTCAGCAGACTTTGAGGAGGATACACATATAGGGCATGGTTCCCAGGGACACAGGCAGGGATAGGAACACCTCCACACACATAGGAGCCAGCATCCAAGCCCCCATGGTGGTCTCAGGAGTCCCAATGAGGTGTAATCAGAGAGGACAGCATCCCTTGGGCCACTGATGCCTGAGAAAGCAGAAAGGATCAGTGGGAATGGGCCAAGAGCCCTGCAAATGTCCTCCTCCCCATGTGCTCAGTCTTTTTTTAGTTCATCCTATGTACAGGCCATGTTATCCCAGGAGCCCTCAATCTGCTGAAGCTACTGACTTTTGACCTTCTTCCCTGCCCAGGCATGTCCCGGCCCAGGCCTGTGGTGCTGAGTGGACCCTCGGGAGCTGGGAAAAGCACCTTGCTTAAGAAGCTATTCCAGGAGTATGGCAGCATCTTCGGATTCAGCGTGTCCCGTAAGTCCTTAGGAGAAAGGAGAAAGGGGAAGGGAGGTAAAGGGCTGTAGGAGACTGTCCCAGCATTGAGACCTCTCCTGCCCCACAGACATAGGCTGAGGGTCTGCCCTTTCTTTATTACCCTTTAAACCTCCTGTTTCTCCCCCCTCTTCAGGTGGGGTCAGGGTTGCGGTCTGTACTCCCTGCAGGGCCTTTTCTGGTCCCTGAACTTGCCCTTACTAGAGTGTGGTCTTTGTGCCCTCTGCTTTGTGGTCCTCATGCTGAGTAGACCATTGGGGGGACCTGAGTGGGAAGTTACAGCTTCCAGACAGCAGGTGACGTGTCTTTTTTAGATACCACGAGAGACCCCCGGCCTGGCGAGGAGAACGGCAAACGTGAGCTGGGCAGATGGGCTCAGGGCTTGGGCACAGCCAGTGGGTGGTGTGGAGGCCTATGGGTCCCCTGGCTCCTAGGCAGTGGGGCTGCCCCACCTGCATTATCAGCAACGCTTCAGGGGCTCAGCCTCCTCTTCTGTTTGATAGTGCCCACCTCCCCCATGGAACCTGGTGGTCTTAATTCACCTCACAATGAGAACAGACCCAGTGTCTGGCCCAGCCACTGGGTAGCATTTGTGAAGACCTCATAACTCTGCTGCCCAGCCTGGTTCTTGGGGAAGGGATGGCAGGTGTACTAGGGGAAGAGAGCTGGCCCTGGCTATGCCTGATTCCCTGGGCATCCTCTGGACAGTCCCTCCTCCTCTCCAGATTACTACTTTGTGACCAGAGAGGTGATGCAGCGTGACATTGCTGCTGGTGACTTCATTGAACATGCCGAGTTCTCTGGGAACCTGTACGGCACGAGGTAGGCCATGCTCTGGGCTGGCCCTGGGGTGGTTGTGAGTAGTGGCCAGTCCTCACCTGGGCCTGGGCTCATAGTTCTGTGAGCCCTGAGGCACATCCTCCCCATCTTCCAGGCATAGGGCCTCGAGCTCCTCCCGTGAGGCCACTGAGCCTGGCTGAGGGAGTGAATGGCTTGTTTATGCTGCCTTGTGCTGTCCTGGCAGGGTGAAGGGTGCATAGTGCACCTAGTGCTGGCTGTAGGTGCCATCCCGAGGGTTGTCAGTGGGGTTCTGCTCCCCCACAGGTGGGAGTGCACTACAGGGTGACCCTAGCAGGATGGGCTTGGATGCTATAGAAGGTACCCTGAATGCTAGGGCCTGGGAAGTCCTTGCCACTCCCGAGGGTGGGCCTTGTATAGAGGCATGGCCTGCAGGCTGGCAGGGAGTATCTGGGCCTCAGGCAGGCTCTTGGTGGCCTTGAGGGTACCCTAGTACTCCTGAGGATGTCTCCCACTGACCCACGCCCATCCTCAGCAAGGCAGCTGTGCAGGCGGTACAGGCCATGAACCGCATCTGCGTGCTAGATGTGGACCTACAGGGCGTGCGCAACATCAAGAAGACTGACCTTCGGCCCCTCTACATCTCCGTGCAGCCACCCTCGCTGGATGTGCTGGTGGGTGCCAGGCTGGGGAACCAGAGGGGCTGAGGGCCTCACCCAGGGCTGTTGACCAGGCCTCGCCTGCCTTGTAGGAGCAGCGGCTGCGGCAGCGCAACACAGAGACAGAGGAGAGCCTGGCGAAGCGGATGGCCGCTGCCCGGGCCGACATGGAGAGCAGTGAGTGCCCAGAGTGTCCTGGAAGGTCCCCAGTCTCCCCTCTTAACCGGGGCCCCTCTCCTCCCACCTGGGGAGCATCAGGCCTTCTCCTGTGTGTTTCCTTCCCGTTGCCTGGGTGAAGAGGATGTTTAAATGTCCACCTTACATGACAACAGGAGCCCTGGCCAGATGCCTAGACAAGGCCAGCCAAGCCTGGTGGGGTGTGGGTATTTAGGATCTGGGGCCCAGGGCCTCCCACAGGACACAGCCCTTCCCAGCCCTGTGCAGACCCTGTCTGTGGCTTGGACAGCATTGGTGATGGGGTCAGACCCAGGTGGTTAGTGCAGGCAATCATGTGGTAGCTGTGTCCCTGACCTCCCCCCAACCCTCAGGCAAGGAGCCGGGCCTATTTGACTTGATCATTATCAACGATGACCTGGACACAGCCTACGCAGAGCTGAAGGAGGCATTGTCCGAGGTGGGCTATGCCCCCGCCCTGCCTGAGCTCCATCTTCCTGTCTACTCAAGCCTATGGGGCTTCCCCAGTGCCCCTTTGCCCTGCCATGGAGGGAGGACTGGAGGCCCTGCCCATTCTGAGTTCTGGTCTCTCCAACCCCCTTTCTTTCTCCCTGGCAGGAAATTAAGAAAGCCCAGGGGACCAACTGTACCTGATGAGGCCTGCTCTTGGAATCAGGCGCCTTCTGTGCCTGCCCCTCCTGGGATCCACATAGAACCAGGGTGAATGCATGGAGCTGCCCCTTTGGAGGGCCCCACAGCCCCTCTGAGCCCTCAGTCAATGCCTGGGGTGGAGGGGTGCCACCCACCTGGCCTGCCATGGTCAGAGGGTCCTGGGTGCCCCTACCCTGCCCCCCAGGCTGTTCTCTCTTTGTCCTTCCTGCTGGAACCAGGACTGACATTCTAATAAATTAATGTTGGGTTGGAGTGTCCACGAGTGAGTGGAGCATGGTCTTGAGGGGGCTAGACTTCCAGGCCCTGACAGCTCACAAAGCCAGCATGTCTAGTAGGGTGGCCACATGGGCTCTGCCCAGGCCTGTGCTGGCTCCTGGCTGCCTAGGGAATCTTTGTCAGTCAGTGTCCCTGGTGCAGGGAGATGTCCAGGGGGCGCAGCAAGGCCATTCCCAACCTGCCTGGTGGGCTGCTCAGGGCTGGGAGTGGGGCTGGTGAAGGCTAGCCCTGAGTTGTCCAGGACACACTAGGTACATGAGGGGCTGCATGGGGGGAGAGAGACTGAGACTGCAGGAGCAGGCCCTGCCTCCCCAAGGTTCCAGGAGAAGCCAGCCCTGGCCAGGGTCCCTGGGGGCAGGTGGGAAGGAGCTGCTCAGTCATGTCCCTCCTGGAGCACTGCACCCCCCCACCCCCACCCTCGCACCCAGTGTTAGCCCCAGCCCTGGTCAGAGCCCAGGTTGGTAGCCACCGGGGAAGGCCACAGGCAGGGAACCCAGGCGGAAGTAGTTGGAGAGAACAAGCAGTCCTGGGCTGTGTCCAAAAGCCCAGACTTCTGGAAGACGCCTAGGCTGAGAAGTGGAGGAGGGGCGGGTACAGGAGCTTCCGCTGGGGGACCAGAGCAGCCAGAGGCTGCCTGGGAGGGCTGTCTCTGCTGCTCTGCCCCCAGAGACAATCAGGGATTCAGGCCCTGAAGCCAGGGGGGAACAATGGGGCCCTTGAGTGCCCCTCCCCCAGCCCCCATTGTGCTTGGTGGTGAGAGGTGGCCCTGGCCCTGCTGCACATCCTCGGGGAGGATCAGCATCTGCACAGGTGGAAGGGCTCAGAGACAGACGCACATTTCCTGGCCTGGAGAAGGTAGGGCCCCATGGGGCAGGGAGGGTCGCCCTCTGGCCCAGGAAGCAGTCTCTTCCCTGCACCCGACCAGCCCTTAGGCCCCACAGGGAGCTAGGGGGCCCTGGGAGGACTAGGCTAGTGGGGTGGAAAGCCCCACCAAGGCTCTTCTTCTCCGTACTGTCTGTCTACCTTAGTCCAACTGCCTTCATGGGCAGGGGCTGACTAGCTGGATGTCAGGGCAAGACCTATGGGTAGCAGGGAGCTGGATTCAAAAGTCTGGGGGTCCCAGGAGCTCCTCAGAGCCAGCTGGTATGTGGGGGGACATGCCCCGTACCTTCTCCAGCAGCTGGGGCCCCTCAGGCCAAGTTAGGGCCAGCCCATCCACACCAGCCAGCTGCAGGGTGTCCAGAGGTAGGAGGGACCCAGCCCTCTACTGTTACCTGGGTGGCTGATGTTCAGGGGTATGACAAAGGGGTGGTGATGCTAGGAACACAGGAGGCCCCCCAGGGTTGCTGCATGGGGGAGGCATGGCCGCCCAGACCCTGCAGTGTGCTCCAATTCCAAGTCTGGTTAAAGTTGGACACAGGCTGCTGGCATAGGGGTGGAGGTGTGGGGAGAGTTGTGGATGCAGGTCCCCTCCACTCCAAGGTGGAAACAATCCCTAGTTTCCAAGGCTACCACTTCTATGCCTACTTGGGGCTGCCTTGGGCATGGGGCCCAAGGAAGGCAGCAGGCAGGTCCCCTAGACAGACTTGGCAATGTGTGGGTGCTCATGAGTGGACAAGGGCAGTGCAGTGCCCACCGTGTACTTGGTCCCCTCATGATCAGGGAGGATTAAGGTCTCAGAGAAGGGTCCCTACTGGACCCTTGCCTGGAGTCCTAAGCACTAGGATGCCCTGGCTTGCAGCCACACCTAAGCAGCAGGAAGGCAGAGGCCCAGCCCTGTCCACCCCCGCCAGAGGGCCGAAGTGGGAAGGAAATACCTGGGCAGAGACCCTGACCCCACAAGCTGCAGGCGGGGGTAGGGGGTGGTATCTGGTTTTCTACCCACCCTTATCCAGACCCAGGGTGGGTTGGGCTTCAGTGGGAGAAGGCCTTGGGTGGGCCTGGTCACCCCTGGTGCCTGGACTACCTGTGGCCGGCGGGGCACAGGGTTTGTAGACAGGCAACTTCGGCCTGTGCAATCAGAGCAGCTCCAGCTCCAGCCTGGGTGAAAAAGAAGGCTGAGGCTCTGCCTGCGCTACCAGCACAGGACATCCAGCCTGGCCAGGGCAGACCCATGCCTGATGACCCAAACCAGGCGTCCTCAAACTACGGCCCGAGGGCCACATGCGGCCCTCCTAGGACATTTATCTGGCCTGCCGAGTGTTTTTGCCACCACTGCCTGTCCTACTTAGCAGCCGACTCATCCCGGGGCCTGCAGTCTGGCTCTCTGAGGGACAGTGAACTGGCTCCCTGTTTAAAAAGTTTGAGGACCCCTGACCCAAACAGTTGGCAAGCTCCAGTGGGTGCTGTGACAACCAGGACTAGGCTTAGAGGCTATGAACTCAAACCCCTTTCACTGTGACACCCTGCCCCTCACTCCGATACCCTTGTCCTGACACACTTAACAGCCTCACCCTGATGCCCTAACGCTCCACTCTTACACACTAGTGCTTCACTCTTACCCATGACACACTCACCCTTCTGACACATGCACCCTTCATTTGGGCACAATCACTACCCTTATGGCCTCACTCAGACCCTCACCCTACCACACCCATCACTGACACCCTCGCCTCCTACTCTGACACACCCCCACTCTAAACATCTCATCCCTCTGACACACTGACACACTCCTCACTCTTATGCCCTGACTCGTCACTGACATACCTTCCACATTGACTCCCAACTCTGAGGCAGTCACCTCTTACTCTGAGATACTCCTCACTCCGACAACCTCCCCTGACACGCCCTCTGACCACCTCACCCCTTTTTCTGACACCCTCAAATCATTACTCTGTCACTCCTCTTTCATCCTGGCACTCCCATCCTTCACTCTGACCCCTACTCTGACACCATCAAATCTTCACTCTGACATATCCTTCATCCCAACACCCTCACCCTTCACTCTCAACACCCCTCACTTGGACACGCTCACCCCCACTCTAACACCTTCAAATTCTCGCTCTGACACACCCCCATCACTCTGACACCCTTACTCCCCACTATGACACAACCCTCTGACACCTTCAACTGCCACTCTATACACCCCTCACCCCTTAGTCTGACACCCTCACCCTGATGTGCTCTTTCCCCCCCCAGACAGACATCCTCAACCACCACTGTGAGACCTCCTTCTTTGTTCCTCAGTGAGCACTGTCCCTGTACCACATCCCATAGACCTGCCCCACCCCACCCCCAGCCTTCCCACACCTGTGTCTGACCCTGCCTGGGCACTTTGAGGCCTAGGGCAACAGGGGCCTGGGTATACCTCCTTTAGTGCCCCCATGTTACTCCACCTGGGCCACCTGGCCCCTTCTAGCCCTGGCTGAGCTAAAGTTTCTCCCCAGCAGGCCCTGTGTTGGCTACACTAAGGCATAGCTGGGCATGAGGTGCCTTTGCATAAAGTGGTCTACCGCATATGGACAGTCTGTACACTTGGGCCTGGCTCTGTGGCGAGCATCTGTCTCTTCCCCCTTCCTCCTACAGGTGCCTATGCAGCCCTGGGCAGCTATATATACATATTAAGACTCATCATAAATAAGCTATTTATTTTAGAACACTATTAGATTTACAGAAAAATTGTGAGAGTAATTCCCATTGGCCCCATGCCCAGTTTTCCCCAGGGGTGGTCTCCCCCATCCCTCTGGTGCAGAGGCAGCCTGCAGCCAGGGGCGGGGAGTCAACCCTCCCCCTTTCCAGCTTGGAGTATCTGAGGAAATGGGAATTCCTTTGCATGGGGAGTGGCCTCCTCTACCCCAAATGGTTTGTTATTCAATCACTTTACTGTGAGTTCTCATCTATAACTCAATCTGGAATCTAGAATACCACTTGATTTTGTTGCTCAGATTGACAAAGCTTCAGCCACTGAGGACTCTTCCAGTTGTCCCATGTGCCTTTGATGCAGCCCTATCAGTTGAGTGTGTACGTACTTATGAGCATGCAGATATGTGTGTGCATGTCGTGTGTGTGGAAATGTGTAGATGTGCCTGAATGTGTGCTTGAGCACATCCCTCCTCTCTGATACTATGGTTTGCTATGAAGAAGAATTTGCAATGCGTAACACAAGTATTCCCTGCTCTAGCACTAGCTGAGGATTCCTGGTTCTTTTTATTGGGAGTGGAGTAAGGAGCCAAGACGTGGGATCCAGATTGGTTCTTCCTCCTAGGGTATTTTTGCATGTTGGCCCATTCAGGTGGCAAAGCACAGACTATACACACACACACACATACATACATATACATGTATACACACACACATATGTATATATCCCCACATGTATCCACATAGCTAGATATATTCTCCATGAAGCCACCCACATACTTGAGAAACACATCTGAGTGTTATCACATGGGACATTTGCAAGCTGCCAGCTTGTGGGTGTGAGCAGTCTGGAGAAGGGCTGGGAGTGGGTATGTGCAAAGCAAGACAAGGGGGTGTCTGCAGCCTGGCTTAGAACTGGGGACATGGTACCTGGTGCTGGGTGCATCCTTGGCATTTGTCCCAGTTGGGAGGGCAAGCCACAGGAGGTGGGCATTCCAAGGCTCCTCTGGCTGGAGTCCCTCACCATGAGGTTCACAGAGATGAAGGAAGGAGTGAAGGAGAGGGTTCAGGGTTTGCTGATGGACTAGATGGGGTCCAGAATAAAGTCCCTGGGATGGGAAGGCCACTCTGGAGGTGAGATTGGTGCTTGGGTCTTACCCTCTGGAGTTAGAGGTGTCTGCTGGGTATTCAGGTGCTAAGGTGTCAGGAGGCAGGTGGGCCCTAGAGGGAGTTTCAGGGTAGAGGTGTGGATATGGGAGTCTCCAACCCCATGTGATGCCCTAAAACCAGGGCCTAGGCTCCTTTAGGCCATTCCCAGGACCGGCTGCATTTGGAACCATGTGTGCATGGGTGATACCTACCCCACAGGGTCACCCCTTAAACCCTAGGGCACAGTCAGCCCAGGCCTTAAGCCACAGCAGGCCTCAAAAGTCAATTGCTCACACTTCTCCTTAGCTCCACATTCAGTGGTGTCAATCAGTAATCACATTTGTGTGGCACCTCTCAGAGCCACACACACATTCACATATGCAGTCACACACATGCATAGCACATGAGTTTGCATGCATGTGTGTCTGTATTTGCTCAAAGTGCATGTGTACATGCATTTGTAGATGTGGGTATACATGTCTGTGAGTGCATGTGTGCTACACACATGTGCATACACGGTGCTTATTAGTATGTACATGTCTGTGCATGTGTGGGTGTGCTGTGTGTTTGCATGTGTGCATATATATAGGTGTATCTGAGTGCCTATGAATCTGTGTGTCTGTGTGACTGTATGTGTGGGTATGTCTCCACACATGTGCCAGTATGTATATGTGTGATGGCATATGTTAGCCTGCATCTGTGTGTATGCACATGTTGAGTGTGCACATTACTCTGAGGGCCACTGTTCAGATGTGAGGAAGCAGGGCCACTTCCCCAGGAACCCCGGCTGCCCCCTCTTCCTGACCTGGGTGGGGAGGCCGAACCACATAAAAAGGCCGGGAGCTGCTGCTGCTGCTGTTGCTGCTGCTGGTCTCACACCTGCTGGCCACTGCCTCCCAGTTGGGTCCAGGAGGGAGGGGGCAGAGGCGTAGGTTGCTCAGGGGTCTCCTGCCCCAGGTTGCCCAGAAGCAGGTACTGGCTGTGGGGTGGCTTCATGGAGGGTGCTGGGCAGGGGGAGCTGTGGGTCATTCTCCCCTCCTTGGAGTGTGCTGTCCTGCCACAGAGTCTACCCCCTGGCACACACCCATCCAGGGTTTGGTTGGTCTGTGGCACGGTTGTCTCTGGGGGCTGCAAATGTCCCCGAATGGCTATGCAGTACTGTGTCTGGACCCTCACTGGACACCATACCTCCTGGACAGGTGCCCACCCTCTTCCTACCCCTCAGCTGGGGGCAGTCTAGGTGTGGACCTTGGAGGACCAGGAGCCAGCAGCCCTGGTGCAATTGGACCTCCAGGGGACTCAGGGAGGATGAAAGTCCTTTGTGGAGGCAAAGGGACACCAGTGTGCTGTGCAGGGTGTGGAGGAAGACAAGGCAGGGCTGCTGGGGACTGGGGGCCAGTGGTACTGCAGGTATGGGAGGCTGGGTAGTTGGGGCTGGAAGGGCTAGGAGGGCGTGGTGGGCTAGGCAAGCTGGAGGGAGACCCTGCATGCTGGGAATGTGACCTGGAGGGACCCTCTCTGGAGACCTAGCTGTAGCTGGAGGGTAGGATGAAGGGGTCATGGGTGCAGCAGCAGGTGAGACTGCCTAACATCCCCCAGGACTCTAAGTGGGGCTGGCCTGGATTTCCTCATCTGGTTCAGGAAGGCAGTTCCTAGGCTCTGTGACTCTTGGGGGCTGTCCCAGAGCTGGTGCTGAGCTTCCCTGAGAGGGGGTCTACGGGAGAGCCAGAGGGGCAAGGGCACCCCTCCTGCTGCACCCATGGGCAAAAGGAGGAACCGGGTGGTGGCTTCCCGTCCCTTGGGGGTGGTGAGCTCCCCTTCACCAGAGGTGAGTAAGCCGCGGCGCTAGCTTGGAGTAGAGCGGCTTCTCAGTGGCCCTGGCCTACCCTCCTGGGCAGAAAGCCCTGATGACTCTGCCACACGTCCCCATAGGTCCCGCCCGCCTGCCCCTATGACCAACATGAGCTGGAGCTTCCTGACGCGGCTGCTGGAGGAGATCCACAACCACTCCACCTTTGTGGGCAAGGTGTGGCTCACGGTGCTCGTGGTATTCCGCATAGTGCTGACCGCCGTGGGCGGTGAGTCCATCTACTCCGACGAGCAGGCCAAGTTTACCTGCAACACGCGGCAGCCAGGCTGCGACAATGTCTGCTACGACGCCTTCGCGCCTCTGTCGCACGTGCGGTTCTGGGTCTTCCAGATCGTGGTCATCTCCACGCCTTCAGTCATGTACTTGGGTTACGCTGTCCACCGCCTGGCCCGCGCGTCGGAGCAGGAGAGGCGCCGAGCCCTTCGCCGCCGCTCTGCGCCCCGCCGCGGGCCCCGGGCACAGCTGTCGCCTGCTCACTGGCCCGAGCCCGGAGACCTGGGCGAGGAAGAGCCTATGCTGGGTCTGGGTGAGGAGGAGGAAGAGGAAGAGCCGGGCACAGCTGAGGGTACAGGGGAGGACGGAGAGGAGGTGGGCGCTAAGGGGGCCAGCGCGGACGGCAAGGCGGCGGGAGTCCCAGGCCCTGCTGGGCAGCACGACGGGCGGAGGCGCATCCAGCGGGAGGGGCTGATGCGCGTGTATGTAGCCCAACTGGTGGCCAGGGCGGCCTTTGAAGTGGCCTTCCTGGTGGGCCAGTACCTGCTATATGGTTTTGAGGTGCGGCCCTTCTTCGCGTGCAGCCGCCAGCCCTGCCCGCACGTGGTGGACTGCTTTGTGTCGCGACCCACCGAAAAGACAGTTTTCTTGCTGGTCATGTACGTAGTCAGCTGCCTGTGCCTCCTGCTTAATCTCTGTGAGATGGCGCACTTAGGCCTGGGCAGCGCGCAGGACGCGGTGCGCGGCCGCCGCGGCGCTGGGGTCCCCGCACCCGCCCCCACGCCGCGGCCCCCGCCCTGTGCTTTTCCCGCCGCAGCCGGAGGGTTAGCCTGCCCGCCTGACTACAGCCTTGTGGTGCGGGCGGCTGAGCGCGCGCGGGCGCACGACCAGAACCTGGCCAACCTGGCCCTGCAGGCACTGCGCGACGGGGCGCCGGCCGGGGACCACGACCAGGACAGCCCGCCCTGTGCCTCGGGGCTCCCAGCGGCCTCCCGGGGGCCCCCCAGGGCAGGCGCCCCCGCGTCCGGGTCTGGCAGCGCCACATCTGGGGGCACTGTCGGGGAGCAGGGCCGGTCAGGGGCACATGATCGGCCTGGTGCCAAGCCCAAGGCCGGCTCTGAGAAGGGCAGCGCCAGCAGCAGGGAGGGGAAGACCACCGTGTGGATCTGAGATTGGGGCCCCGGGGCATGGGCCTAAATCGGGCTTCCTTAAGGACCAACAGGCTTCCTTCTCACCATGGCCTCAGGACGACCTCTGCCTCAAGAAGGGTGGGGGTTAGAGGTTGCCCTGGGTCAGAAAGAATGGGGAAGGGACCTGGGGGCACAAGGGTCCTTGGCTCTGGCCACCAGGTGGGCCACTACAGGCGCATCACTTCAGAGGGGGTTGTGCTGGTCCTACTCCCTGCAGCTGGGCTCCTTCCCCAGCACCCTGAGCCCACATTCTGGTTCCTGCAGGGAAGGAGTAAACAACCTCCTCCCAAACAAGGGAGGTCAGGAGCACCAGAGCCCCTGTCTGCACCCACTCCCAGTTCCCTGCTGGAGATGGAGGCCCTAGAGAAGGGCCTGAGGTGCACAGGACCACCCTTCTCTCTGAGCTTTGATGCCTGGCAGACCCTTCCTCTGGGATACACTTGAGGTTCTGCCAAGATGTCCACCACACCTTGCATATTGGACTAGGGAAGTGGCAGTCAGGGGCTGTCGACCCTGCTGGGAGAAAGGGACTCTAGCTTTCCTGCCCATGGCCTCTCTGCCCTCTTCCCTAATTCAAACCTAGCATCCAGAGAAAAAGATTAAATAAAACTAACTTTTGTTTACAACCTTATGTGTGTAAGTGTGTGTGGCTATGCATGCTTGTGTATGTGACTGGATGCATGCATATGTGCATGTCTGTGTTTATGTGTGTGAGCATGCATGTGAGTGCATGTCTACTATGGACTAAAGGAGACACAGGGCAAGGAGAGGAGACTCCTCTCCAGGAATAGGCTAGGAGCAAGGCTAAGCCCCTGCAGCTTGTCAGACAATACACCCATGCCACTTGGTGCCAGGCAGGGTGCTAGGGCCAGGGGTATGGGTGGAGCACACCAACAGTGAGAAATAAAGAATAGGCTCAGAGTCCAAGGTTGGCCTGCAGCTCAGTGGTTGGACAGTTGTCTCACGACCTGGTGTTATTGGGATGTTGGCCTGGAGTATGCATTGGCAGCTTTGGTGAGGGGTAGAGGGGGCATGGTAGGCTGCCTACAAGGAGCCCTCTCACTGTGGACTCCAGGTGATTTGTTTCTCCAGCTTCCCTGAGGCCCAGAGCACTGCAACAGCCTTTCCTGAAATGCAAAGGCATTCCTCTCTCTCTGGTGTCCCTGGCTCAATACACAAGCCCAGGCTGAGCCTGGACTCTTACCTTAGCCTGCCTCTGGTCAGATGCTACCTGCAGACTGAGTTCCCTCCTTTCTGGGGGGACTGCCTGGCTGATGTCCACAGAGTCATGGCTAGGATGCTGGGAGTGGGACCTCAGGGACAGAAAACAAATATCAAGCCTGAGCAGGTGTCCACCCCAGTGGAGCTGCACCACCAGCCTCCCTGATAGGAAAGGGTCCATGTTACTGACCATCCTTGCATTTGAAGCTGTGCTGCTGCTGGGGCTTCCATTTTGTCCAGCCATGCAGGGCATCTAGGCACAGCTCACTCTTCTTTTACCTTCTGGTTCCATTCAGGCCTTTGAGAAAGCTTAGTCTTTGTTTTTATTTTTTATTTTTTTATTTTTTTATTTTATTTTATTTTATTTTTTTGAGACAGAGCCTCAAGCTGTCCCCCTGGGTAGAGTGCCGTGGCATTACAGCTCACAGCAACCTCCAACTCCTGGGCTCAAGCGAGTCTCC